TATGTATGTATGTATGTCTGCATGTATGTATGTACAGTATGTGCGTATGTGGGTGTTTGTATGTGGGTGTATGTATGTATGTAAGTATGTATTATGTATGTTTGTATGTATTGGTGTAACGTATGATAGTATGTTTGTATGGTGTATGCATGCACTATGAACTAAACTTGCTACGCAATGTATTTGTATATATGTATGTAAGACTACAGTATACGCATGTGTTCTACTTGGTCTCTACACAGACCTGCAACAAATTCAAGCGGCTGGAATCAGCAACCAAGGGGCCTGGAGCCCTTTCTCATCAACTGCACTGAGCTACGGTTCCTGGTGTCAGGCCAAGCGAGGCGATGAATCTCCTGCAGCAATGCCAAGCCTGGCCACCTTCCGCGAAGCTCAAGGGGTTTGGCAGAAAGGCCCCCAAAGGTGCGAAGGTAGCAAACAACACGGACTGGGGCATTTTGAATGCCAGCAATCACCCATGTACGACCAAGCTGTGCTGCAATGGCAGGGTAGAGGAAAAGCAGCGAATTCAACTCAGCTAAGCAAGCCCCACAAAAACACAAATGTGTTGCCTTGCAGTTGCCTTGCAAATGGGATCACCTCATAAATAATGCAATATGCGGTGCAAGTAGTAGTAGAAATAGAAGTAGACAGTCCACACTACAACTCTCTTGAATCGAATTAAAAAGGATTGCTACATTCAGTGCAAGTTTCTGGATTTTTAATTAGCCACCACATCCCCAACCATTCAGCAAGAGGTACCAAAACCTTGCCAACTAGCTCAGCAGTGGCGTTTCCTGTGCGCACAAATGGCACTGATTCATTGCCATAGACATTGTCCTCAAGAAGCAATTGGATAGGTCCGCATAATGACTTCCTTCATACCCTCGACCCTGACTGAAGAGTAAGCAAAAGGAAAACCTACAGTTTAAATGCGTCAAAGTGCAGGATTTCTGCCACTGGAGTGCGTCGACACGAATCGTGAGCATTGTGACAACTGTCCCTCCTAATGTCGAACGTGTTGGAACCTGCTACAGATCCAACACCACCAAAGATCTCGCAATACTGGTGCATCTCAAGGCCCTGCTTTTGCAGGGTATCAGCTCGGTTGCGACGCCCTAGATCTGTATAAAAGGTGCAAGGCAAGCACCAAACCAGAGCACCACAACACAAAACATCCAAAAACAAATGAAGCATCCAAACTGACAACATTCCACATCGAGAAACCTTCCTCAGAAGCCAAGAAAGGAAACATGGAGATGAGCCATGTTTGCAGCTCCATTAGTGTCAACACCGGTGCACGAACCATGATCAAGATCCAACAATGCACACTCAGAGCAAAAAAACGGCTGCAGGGTGCAACTAAGTGAGTTTTGTCCACCGCCCTTGACATGCCTGAGATAGATACTTTCTTTTTGATCCTACGCAAATCTGATAGTATGTTCATAAAGCCCCTCGAATAGAGTGAGTTGAAAGAATAATCCTTTCAACTTGGAATCAATTTGAATTTGAATCAATATCATGTGGGAAAGGCCGAGACCCTCTTATTTACCATTATATATATATCATTTTAAAATGGCCTTTTGGTTTTGCTTTTGAAATTTTGGTTTAGTCATTTTATTCTAGAGAGCTCATGCTTTGGACTCCCAAACGCGCTCGTCTTGAAGGTCTTGAACTGGCTGTCGCCCAGGGTGAGCCAGGCACTCTGTGAGCTGAAGGACTGGAGTTCAGTGAATCCATTGAGTTGTTCTTCAGTTTGTGTTTTCTTATCCGTCTTATCCTATTCAATTCCGCATGGGTCCGGGTTTTGTGACATTTCCTGCGGAAAGTTACGTATTCTGAAGGGTCCGAACAAAACGATCTTTTGAAAGGAAAGAGGAGACAGTGTAGACTCAAGGAACCTCCACTCACTCCACCCAAACAAAACATTATATATACATAATATAACATTTATATTGTTGCTGTGATGCTGTCCGCAAGTTTCAAGACTCATTTCTGACTCTCCTCAGTGCGCCTCCCTCCCTCTCCAGGATGCTCATGGTTTGACGGCCAAGACCTATGCGAAGATGTCCGGCGTGCCACAGTCCGTGCCAACACCGCTCCCAGTCCAAAGCCCCAGCCTCAGCCGCACGAAAGGCCGGAGCAGCACCCCGCGAGGCAGCGGCCATGCTGCGGCCGCAGCCACGAGCGCTTCTGCCGTGGCCAGGAGGAAGGGTGCGGTGACACCGCCAAGGAGTGGAAGTGTGAAGAGCTTGGGCAGTGCCCGGAGCAATGGAGACGCAGATCATTTGGCAAGAGGTTTTGGGGTTCATATTCAAACATCCAAGTCTACAGAGTCTACAGTTCATCGTTTTCGATCAGAAGGAGTTTGTTCTTGATGTCTGTTTGTGAACGATTTTCCATTTGTGTCCACAGTTCGTCATATAGAGAACTTCACATTTCTGCAGTCCGCCCTTCTACAGTCCGCCTCAGGAAGAACAAGTCCAACCACGAGCCCCACGGCTGTATCTCATGCCTTTGACTTCTTCGAGGTGGCACCAAGCCCGTCGCACTCTCCGAAGCGCCGCCCCCCCGCGGTGCCCGCGGCGCCCGCCGTGCCCGCGGCGCCCGCGCCGCCCGCGGTGCCCGCGGCCGTGAGCCCTGAGGGGCGGCGGCAATTGCCCTCGGTCGCCGGGAGGGAATCGTCGCAGAGTCGTGTTGTCCTGGAGGGGTGTCCTGGAGTCTTGTTGTTTGGCAGTTGCGTGGGGTCTCTATGTAGAACTCCTGATCTATTTTTCTGCAACAATACAAGTGGTGATGTGATGGTGTTTCCTGCTGAAGTGATGGATGTTGACTTTACCTCGGTCCATTTCAGTCCGCTGAAGTGATGGCGATGTGTGTGAAAACTCAGTCCGCTACATTCATTCTCAGACACCACATTAGACCACATTGAGATGGTTGAAAACGGTTGTAGTATGGGGTCAATGTAGGCACATCATCCAATTCCCGGTTTTTGGGATTAGCTCACTATGCCGTTCCAATTGGTCGAAGTCCTGAAGATGGGGTAGTGCTCTAAGCTATGAGCTGTAGAGGGTGAGTTCTTTCGTTTGATTTGCAGCCTCCCAGGTGTCGCAGATGGCCTCCCAGATGTTTTAGGTCATGCTTCAAAGATCTTCAAAAGCGTTTCATGTCTCTTCCCTGGGAAACCAAACAATCAGAAACAAGTGGATGTTTCCCCAAACAGCCTTATATGTAAAGGATTTCAATGGCTTTCAATTGCTACATATGGGAACAACCATTTAATATAATTTCAGGTTGTTTGGGTTTCCAGGTCCCCCGAGCACCTCCTGAGAAGCTGGGACCGGGCTGGGTTTGGGGTCTCCAAATACCTTTCGGAGGAGGTACTTGGAGACCCGGGCGGCGAAAATCACGTAGCTTGTCCATTGCAAAACTCTGAAGGGAGGTGTCTCAACCACCAAAGAACACGCATGAACTATGCATGAAAAGACACACCTGGAGGAAAAGACTCCGGTGGCAGAACATGGCAGATCCTGAAAACAATGATTGATTTGAGTGCGCACAAATGTTGGCAAGAATGTCTTTTCAATGCGTTTTGAGACAAACAATTAATCCAGGCCCCAGGCACAAATAATACTGAATACACACACAGATATATATATATATACATCGTTATATATATATAGCTAATTTAATTAGTATAGTATAGATGGCCCAGTTTATATGCATAAATCATCATGTTGGGCCCTCCTTCTGGTCTTCGACCCGTCCGGCTAGGTCTCCACCTTGGTGGCTGCGGCCCCCGAGCCGACCGAGACCAGCCTCGAAACGATGTACGAATGCCGTTTGGGCCATCGTGGGATCGATGCATCGATCGTCGGGTGTGGTTACCACGGGTGATGCGGGTGGGTGGGGTGGACACCAAGAGAAGCGTTGGGCGTTTGGGGATGTTTTTGGTTTCGTCTTGATGTGAAAAAACAGATTTTGAAGCAGCCCATGGGAAGATGGACATCCGATATCCACTGAGCTCATAGGTGTTCTTGAGTTCAGGCAACCATCCATCACCATCTGAATAACCTTCCATATTCACTGTATCAGATCCAAAGCACCTTCCCTCCTGGTCAAGAAGCACCTGGATGGAGCCCTTTTGGAGCGTTGACCCGGGTTCTTAGCGGAGCGAATCGTGGGCCAACCAGGTCAAATAGGCTGTGCAGGAATTCAGTCGTCATACTTCAATGTGGGATAAGCTGTTCAGCAGATTTCAGCATCAGTCCGGGTACGGTCCGGACCTTTTTACAGTTCTTTGGGAGCTACTACTAGTACTCCTGCCTTGGAAGCCTATCTGGGTTGTGGTGGTTGAAGGATGTTGAAGGTGGTTGAAGTATGAATTAGCCAAACCCTTGAAATGGGTGCTCTGAAGGGGGCTTCGGCTTGACATTGGCCATGCAGATTGGATTCTTTGATCCTTTGGCCAAGACGAAGACGTGAATCGATGAGCAAATCTTGAACATCACTGATGATCACTGATTCTTGAGACATGTACACCACGGGTTCTTTTGTACGGACTGGGCCGTCCTTTCGTTTTACTCCACATTCCTACCCAGGAAACGTGGATCACCTGCAAAATACCATGTTCGGCCCAATGGGCTTCCATCCTTCCACTGGAAGATCTTTCAAAACTTCCGTTTCACGCCGTGGTGGCTTCCACCTGCAGCCACACCGCACTGACCCCGACCCGGTCGACCCGGTCGACCCGGTCTCCGATCGGACAGACCACTCCGGAGACCCAGTCGTCCCTTGCGTCCGAGTCCTCCTCGTCCAGTGGGTTCGTCCGGTTCCGCCACTGTGAAGGCCTCGACAACCTGGAGAAGCTCCAGAGACTGCGGGCCATCCATGCTGAGCGGCTCGAGTCGGAGCGACGGTCCCAAGGAGACGGAAGGGCGAAACGAAGAAGAGAGGAGAGTCAGGAGAGGATGGGGGGGTACCCAATGACCCCCGAGGTGGTTTCAGAAGGGATATCCTTAGATCTAAGGACATGCAAGGTAGGATGTGTCTTCAAGAAGGGGGAGCTGTCTCCGGGACGGAGACAAGGCGTGCCGCAGAACTGGGGTTGCTTCGTAACGGTCAAAGTAAAGAATAGACAAACACAGCTTATATAAACGTTCTGAATGCATTTTTAGAGTGTGTTTGTGTTTCTGTTTTCAACTTTTCAATCTGGATGGTGATGATCATGCAGCATGATGCATCAATCTTGATGTGCTCCTGGAATCCGATGCTTCGGAGTCCAACAAGCACGCCGCCTCAATCGCCTCATGATATTATTGAATATGACTGAAAATGATTTATATAATGCTTTCATATTTGATTGACACCAGAATTAAATGATATGCATACTATACAAAGCTCTACTGGATTTGCCTACTCTTCTTGGTAGATTAAAAGCAACAAACATATAAACGGTGCAGGTCAATGTGTAGAGATTCGTTTGCCACAGAGTGTGTTATGTTTCTGTTTTCCCCCTAAAACATATTGATATGGATATTGGAACAAATCCAGTTGTCTTGGTTACGGGATACGTTTGGACGCAAGCTGGAGGAAGAGACCATATGTGCAAGTGCTGGTCACTCTGTGAGGCAAATCGATTATATACTGTATACAATTTTTGAGCATGACTCAAGTGATATTCGATCTGAAATGGGACAGGTCAACACACTAGATGATTGAGCAACACTGACCATACCACCGGATTTCTGAATCTTCTTGGTGTTGGACGAAATCACAGTACCATACCACCATCCTATTTGTGTGTGTGTTTGTTTGTGTGTTCTTTGGTCCCAAAAGTTGGGTTTCGGTCCGGACGAGTTGAAGATCCGTTCGGACTTTCGAGGTCGGCAAATGACAGGGCCCGGAAATCAGGGCCCTTTTTGTTTGGGGTGTGGATTTGTCGGAAAGAGAAACACACCAGACCATCCTTACTGGCCTCAGCCGCCATGAGGCCACCAAGCACGGGGAACGGATTGGTTTTGGTTGGTTCCATACGTTATATAGATTGTGTTGGGCAGGACATGGTAGGACATACTCCCCTGCAGAGGGATTAACATCGAGACCCAAAACCACGCACAGTTTGTAGAGGAAACTGGTCTTACAAGGGTCCGAGATGGCCTTTCTGGAGAAAGAATGTTGACCCCAAAGGGATGTAGGAGATTGAATGATTTCTTATTTTCGATGCCCACTGAGCGATATGCTTTGACGCCAGCAACTGTTGTCTCAGTGTTGCTTGTCTACCCATGTGACGAAGCTTTGCTCGTAGCCTGGAAGCTTCAGGTTTCCACGCACAGATGTGGTCTTGATCAGGATCAGATGTGCAGGTTTGAGTACAAAGACACACTGGAGCTCAGCTGAATTTGTTCACTTCGACCACTACAAGTAGCTGAAAATAACTTTTTCGGTGTGGGTTCCTCCAGGTTTCCTCCAGGTTCTTTGGTTGAGACATGTTGAGACTTTCTGGGTTCACTTCAATCCAAGACTGCTACGATCGAAGGGGAGCCGAGGGGTGCCATTCAGTCACGACTGGAGGCTGCATGTATGGGATGCAAAAAAAATATTTAATAATATATACTATATATGATATACATACACTATATACAATATGACATTACAATGTATTTAGTATATACTCTATATATTTATTTCATATTACATATTGTATATTATCGATCAATAAATATATATATAGTTCTTTCCCTGAAAGCACCCCAATGTCGGTAAATAGAACACACATCGAGTGGGTCTGGGTGTTGGAGCTGTGAACACAGCTGTGCTGTGCAGGACGGTCTCCAAGCGGCTGAGCGATCGGTGGTTCCCCTGGAGGAGGAGCTTGATGAGTGCTGGTGATGAGTGCTGGGTGGGGTCCGCGACGATGAGAGGTAAATCATTGTTTAAAAGAACATAGCATCCATCAGCTGGAAATGAGACTGACCTATTCTGGGCCATATTTGGGGCACTGCTTTTCCATCATGGCTATGGCACCAAAGTCCTCAAGGGACCTCTCAACTAGAAGGAGATGTTGTCCAGAAGAAATGCATAGACCGCACAGCCGAGATCAGAAAACAGCCCCTTTTCAAGATCCTAGATTTGCGATCTGACTGGTAGGTTGGAGGCCATCGCCCTTAGGTTGGAGGCCATCACTATTAGGTGCTCTTTCATGTTGTTTTCTTTCCTTTATTAGTCCTCATGATCCTTTATAGCCAAGCTGAAGAGTTGGGCTCCTTCGCCACTCCACCCAGCCAGTGAAGCTGAAGGCTTCGTTGAGTTGGGGCGTGAGCCCCGCAGGGCGTAAAAACTGCGCAAATTGGTTCACGCCCTGCACAGCAAATGAACCGAAATGGAAAAGAGATGGGCTTGGCATTCAGCAATCTGGGACAGCGCAGGTTTTTCTGCACCGGGGTTTCCAGAGCTGCTATGACAGACATGTCATGGCCAGGGTGAACAGTGTGCAGAAGGTTCAGAAGGTCCCGGAAGTTGATTTCTTTCTTGATGAAGCAACTTCTTTTAAGCTTCTCTTTCCTCCTGCTCTGACACAGAAGGAAAGAGTCCAGAATCAGCTTTGATGTTTGATGAGTTCCACGGCAGATTCAATCAGAAGGACATTCTCAGTCGGACTCTTGATCAGGGACCACCACTCCCACGGATCAACGGATCCATCAGCTGTTTCTATTGCAGGGATTTTTTGGAAGTGTAAATGGACCTGAACAATGATGTAAAGTGATGTAGCCGCAATAGGTTCGCCAAGTCTCACCAGAGGTCTGAACCAATTCATGGACCAACTTGTGTTCTGAACCGGCTCGTCGCTGGCCAGGTGAACCAGATCGGCTCCGTCACCGAGGTGGGGCCACGAAGCTGTTGCGTTCAGCCCTTTTTGGAAACGAAGCTGTTGCGTTCAGTTGAACGGTTAAACTGTGTGGATGTCATCCTGATTTTAAATTTTGTATAGGTAAACTTTGGCAAAAAGATTAAATAGTGGTTTAGAGTTGTATACATGATCAAGATGTTGTGACATTTGGTGGAACTGTGAGCTGCAACAAGCAGCAGCCATCATAATATGATAATGTGTATGTTGGAGGCCAATGCTCATCGCTATTGTAATATAGGTTGGACGCATCGCTATTAGGTCGGAGCCGTTGGTGGCTCCAGGTCCTTTAATCAGTCGAGAGATTGTCAGCACCGTCGTCTGTGGTTCCTTTGATGAGTCGTACGTACAGTCTACAGACTGAACTTCTTGGTAAGGAGGCCCCCGTTTTTGAAGAATGAGAAATGGTAGACACATGCAGGATAGGACCTATTCTCAAGGATAGGTTGAGGATGTTTTCAGAGGCGCCCTAAAAGATCCTGAAGTGGCTTCAGGAAGTTGAAGATCATCCGGAACCACTGGCATGTCCTAACCCAAAGCCTGAAATTGTTGAATAAGTGGGTGGTGGTTCGCTTGAGATGATTGAACCCACTGACTAAGATTGTTCAATATAGACTTCGAAAACAGCTGAATTGTTGAATTGAACCAACCACTGACTTATGTGAGTTGAGGTTTCAGAAACCCAGATGTTCGTCTCGGCAGAGCTCCGCTCCCCGCAGCCCTCCGTGTGAGGCGATTGAGGCAGCAAACATCTCCATGGCTGCAGGATGGGGTGTCATGGCGCCTTTGGCTTGGAAGAAACCATGTTTTTTGATTTGTCTGTGGTGTTTCTTTCGTTCACGGGTAGTAACTTTGGTGAGTATTTCCGGAAATCTGAATTAGCCCATATTCACAATCTTTTGCCAACTTACTATATTGGAAATTCTATTAACAGACTCTTGATGAATAACCACCAAGACATGGATTGTCTGAACCTCTGAAGAGGTGAGCCTAGAAATTAGGGTCTTTACGGTTCCTGTGTCAGCTTATTCACCATTTATCTAGTAGCAAGTACGCTACTACTACGGGCTCCTGGCCATACTACTAGTAACAAGAAGCTACTAGGAGCTCCTGGCAGCGCTGCTAGGAGCAAGGACGCTACTAGGGGCTCCTGGCATTGCTACTAGGAACAAGAAGCTACTAGGAGCAAAGGGCATCGCTACTAGGAGCAAGGACGCTACTATATCACCTTTCCTTCCAGCGCTTTCAGAGGAGGACAGGTCTCCCACCGCCACCAAGGTCTCCCACCGGTCAGGAGAGACGGAGGACAGTCCGATGGAGCTGATTCGGCAGTTGGAGTGACTGATCTGGGGAGGGGTATATCGAAGCTCTTTGGATCCAGCTTTGGGAGTTTTCAGTGCAAACCACCTCAGAGCCATGACAGTTTTGGGAGTCTTTAATCCAAAACCACCTCAGAGCCATGGCAGTTTTAAGAAGTTTGCAGTGCAAAC